ACCAACAAATTTTTTATAAATTACCTGAAAAATATGTTTTCGGCGTTTATCTTTTTCATCAACCCACTGTATCGTTGCGCCTCGAAGGTCGCACATACCCAGTGGTGCTTCATAATGACGACCGGATTTCTGAAAATCCGGTGAAAAAAAAGTGCGCTAGAAAAAAAGTGTCTTTTACTTTTTTCAAATTTTTAAGAAAGTGTCTTTCATTTTTTTAAATTTTTTAAATTCGAAAAATTCGCTGATTTTCACAATACTTTTGTCGCTTCTCCAAAAAAAATTAGAGGAAAAATCCACCCATTTGTCTTTTTTTTACTCCAAAAATGTGAGAATTCAAAGCAAAATACCTCGGCGCTTCGTTCGTCCTTATAAAATATGATGTGAGCAGAAGAGAGGAAAAGATAGCACGGAGACCATTCTTTCTTTTTGACGCGAATTCCTGCTTCCGCTATTTTACACTGAAAATTTCTGAACTGAAAGCTGGGTTGGAATGATAAGTAACGGCTATCAGAAATGCTGAATCAGAAGTGGACGGCCGAAGTGGGCTAAATCGATAAAAAAAATTTTTTTGCAAACCGCTGGTAGGCCGAAACATAATTTCTGAAGTAACGGCTATTAGAAGGCCGAATCAGAAGTGGACGGTCTAAGTGCGGCGGCCGAAGTGGGTTAAATCGATAAAAAATTTTTTTTGCGGTTGCTGGCAATAATAATAGACCAACAGGATTGTACGCAGGCCATGTGTAAGGTGTTATTTTATGGTGCAAATTGCCTTTATCTTTTACATATAGTATATCACATTTTTCGATGCAGTCTCTGTGTGTTTCATCCCTTAGCTGTAAACACAGACCGGACTATGCATGCGGGTAAGCCAAGTAACGGCTATTAGAAGGCCGAGTCAAAAGTGGACGGTCCAAATGTGATGGCCGAAGTGGATTAAACCGATAAAAAATTTTTTTACGGTTGCTGGTAAGCTGAACCATAATTGCTGAAGTAATGGCCAGTCCGGACTGAGGAAAATGCGGAATGGCTGAGATCCTAAAATTTTAATGTGGGATGGAATTAGAGTGCTTTCCGGGGCCACATAAATTGCTCCTGGCTGCCTTTCTTCTTTCTCTTCATTACATCCTGGAGCGTAATCAGAAATTATTCTTCACGGCCAGTGAAGTACTTGGGTTACAACATGCCAAGATTACAACCGCCGACGACAAAATTGACCGTCGCTACTTTAGCTCTGCTTACTACTGCACCAGCCCACAAGCGCCTAAGATAAAACAACGGGAAAAAAAAAGGAAACTGAGCGACTTTAACGCAAAATCTGTAAATTTTATGTGTGTGCTTGTATGTGT